AGGTTTTTGCTATTTTTTCACTATCAACTCTTCATCTTCTTTTAGAAAAAATTGATGGTACTTAATTATTTGAGTTGTTTGTTCAATTTTCTGTTAATGATATGAATGACTATATTTTAGTTGAATTCAAAAAAAATATTTAGAAAGAGTTATTCCTTCGAGGACGATACACAAAATAAAATTTGAAATATAATGTTACAGAGCAGTAGCATATCCATGCTTATGGATGATATACACATATAAAAAAATTTCTATTATTTTATTACTATTAATTTATAATCTCTTTTGGGTGAATTGAATGATTTTTGGATTGGATTAGCTATTGGGTTAATTTAACGAAAAATGAAATCAATAGGTGTGCTTTTTCTTTTTGCCCCTTCACTGAGTCTAGTTAATTTTCCAGTTGTACCAAAAGCAAGAAATTACTTAAACAAAGAAGAAGAAAAAATTGGGTTGCAAAAGTTATGTGTGAGTTTGAATAGGCATCAATATATATGCGATGGACTAAGATCCTCTTATTCAGAAAGAATATGCAGTAAAGAACCAGAGAGGAGTGGGCAAGGAGAAAAGAGAGATGACTTTGGGGAGGAGATGTTAGTTTTTAACGGAGAATAGTTAATTTTAAGGACTATTTTGATCATTTTCTCTAAGTATTACACTTTTTGTTCTTTTCTGATTTTCTAAAGGTCCCCAACATATCGTTAATGTTGAAGTATACATTGTTACCAATTCTAAAAATTATTACCAAACTCAAAGACAAAAAACTACAAGGATAATACAACGACTAATAATATGGAGAAATTAGTGAGGAAACACTTAACTATCTAACTTACCTTCTACCCAAATTTGTGACCTCCATAACCCCTATCTAAGGTCATGTCCTCGATAAGATTAAGTTGCGACAAATCATGTCTAATCACATCTCCCTAATGTTTCATTCGCCTACCCCTACTCTCTTGAAACCATTCATAGCCAACCTCTCACACTTCTGCACTAAATCATATGTGCATCTTCTCTGTATGTGTCTGAACAATCACAACCTCGTGTAATGACCCTGCAGGTCATTTTTAAAAACTTTTTGTCACGACCCAGGAGTACCCCCTAGATGTAACATGGCGTATAGAACCCTGAAGGACTCCATACAAGCCACTTATCATATCATAACAAAAAGTAATAAAACAATAAAGAGTAAAACAACATTTAAGTCCAAAACAGTTTTATAGAAAAAGCAGAAGTCTAAATGATGTCTTAACATATTCATATATTACAATCGAATGAGAGTGGGCCTAGCCCATACATCATATTCAAAAAAGAAAATACGAAAGAGAAACAAAAATAAGAAAAGTCCGTCCTCGAACTATGAGGACTCACCAAGCTCAGAAAGAATCAAAGTCCAAGCTCTAGCCACTAAAATAGGAACCCTGCCTGACAGACCCTACATTTGAGAAAAATGTAGGCAAGAGTATGCATTAGTACAAAATTGCACTAAGTATGATAGCTATGCATAAAAATATTTAAAACATGCTAGGAAGGACATTTCATTTCATGACATGCAATTGACCAATTAAAACATGATATAAGAGGGTTAGAAAACATAAGTCATAACATCATGGTCAATGCAAGCTAAATCATTTTTTTAAGCCTTTGAACACATAAGAGATACTTCTTTAAGTAACCTTAGTTAATTAATCATCTTGTCGTGGGAAAATTAGCCTTAACCGACATAGAGACCATGTGAGCTAAAACATGATCACCCGGTGTCTCCCACACTAAGAAGGGTTGTTCTACTTGCCTAAGGTAGAACCATGAACTTCTAGCTTAAATGGATTCACTGGCTAATCATCCTATGAGGGCACATAGTTTATGGGATAAGGAGATTGTTACTAGAAACCCGTCCCCTACTAACGAGAGAGCTTCTATCTCATGAGACTTCTTCTAGAAACCCGGCCTCTACTAACGGGAGAGCTTCTATAACAATGTCAATATCCATACAGTGCTAAGCATAATTCCCACGGAATATTATTTTCTTACTTATTCTCATTATCCATGGAAAGACATGTCATCTTGTCAATTCAAGCTAGTTAATTAGGATAGCTCTTATTCATTGATTCGATTAGGTGAGAATAGCCTTTCAACCTAAGAATCCTTTCTATGTGAGAAAACCTTTCATTTTTATGTGAGAAAACCTTTCACATCATGGTTGCAAGTGTTTTATCATAATAACCTGTCAACAACACAACAACAACAACAACAAAAACAACAACAACAACAACA